CTGAATACAGACATTAAATATTATTATGAAATACATGATGCAGCTCTCTGTTTTACATTTTCTTAATCAGTATTTGTAAGTTGATTTTACATTTTAAATATAACTAAACCTTCATAAAGTAATCATTCCAGATTACATTATAATGCACTGAAACAAAGACATTATTTTAAATTAATCAGAGCTGTTTGGTGTGTTCATAACAAAGTTCATTTCTTTTAGAAAAAGAGAACACTAATTTATTTTATGTGATCTTCATAATTAGAGACATGTTTATGAAATTTCACTATATGTATATGATAAAAATAGGTTTCCAAAGATTTTAGGCATAACAAAGGATTTTATATCTGATTAAGGCTCTGAATTTGGTGGAGGGGTCTCTTAAAACTAGTTAATCATATAGTCAGAGGTAAAGAAAAGGAAACTCATTTGTCCTTCTATTATGAAAAAAAGGAATGTTGTCCCTTTAAGGGCTCTCTTCAATGTCAGGGACGAGAGGTGAAAGTAGAGTAGGGATGAATAGAAAGACAATAAGACATTGGAAACAAGTTTATGTATTATAGTAATTAAAATATGTTTTTAGATAAGGGTAGAATTTTGAAGAATTTTTAAAAATGATATGTCTGAAGATACATGCATTTAAGGCTAAAAGCTGAATATTCAGATTGTGCATCTAATATCTATGCACGGATTTTTAGAAATACCATTTATCAGTAAATTCTGGGTTGGCACATGCCTGTTAAATGGCTTCATTACCACTTAATGGCTCTTTCACAGGTTCAATGTTATGCTATAGGTCTGGCAAGCCAGAAGGCTTTTCACTTGTAAAGTAAGTAATACAGCCACTAATACAGCCACGGGGAGGCGGACTCAGGAGTCTGCAACAGCCTGCTGTGGGAGTCTTAAGGAATGGTTTGAATAGGGATAGGAAGGAGAGGTTGAGCACTAAGACTCAGAGAAGGCACTGCCTCCCCTTGCCTCTTATACCTGCCATCTGTGCTGCCTAAATGGAATAGTCAAACCAATTTGGGGTGGGATGGAGGAAGGACCCTTGCAAACCTTTGCCTATTAAAAGAATTAAACCCAAAATCTTTTAAGGTATGTCTACACTAGCCCCCTAGTTCGAACTAGGGTGGCTAATGTAGGCATTCGAACTTGCAAATGAAGACGGGGATTTAAATATCCCGGGCTTCATTTGCATGTTTGCGGGCGGGCGCCATTTTTAAATCCCCTTAGTTCAAACTGACTGCCCGCGACCACACGCGGCAGTCAGAAGTTAATCTGAACTAAGTCTTTAGTTCAGATTAACTGTTACACCTCATTGCAGGAGGATTAACAATTAATCCAAACTAAGAATTTAGTTCGGATTAACTTCTGACTGCCGCGTGTAGCCGCGGGTAGTCAGTTTGAACTAAGGGGATTTAAAAATGGCGCCCGCCCGCAAACATGCAAATGAAGCCCGGGATATTTAAATCCCCGTCTTCATTTGCAAGTTCGAATGCCTACATTAGCCACCCTAGTTCGAACTAGGGGGCTAGTGTAGACATACCTTAAAAGATTTTGGGTTTAATTCTTTTAATAGCTGAAACAGTCATTTTTCCTTCTCATCTCCCCCAGCTTTATATGTCCATGTACTTCAAGGGGTTAGTAGCACCAGTACAAAATAATCTGGAAACGAATTAACAGAATGGGTTTTGGAGTATGACAAAATCTTCTCTTTCTATACATTAGAGACAAAATTATGCCACTTGATGGGGAAGTGGGAGCCGCTTCATGTCTGTACATAAGTAGAGGAGGATTATAAACAGTGCTCCAGTGAATCCCAAATATCATGCCTACAGGAGAGATGGTATGGTCAGGATACACAGACCTCTTGCCATGTGCTGAAGCCAACAGCACTGTGCTCACCTGCCAAGTCTCATTCAACTCCCTTTGTGAACATCTACACTATGGGCTAAAGTCAAGATACGCAACTTCAGCTACATTAATTACGTAGCTTAAGTCAAAGTACCTGAACTTGGCTTTTGGCACTGTCTATGCAGCAGGAGTCAAAGGAAGAACCCGCTTTCTTCCACTTCCCTTACTCCTTGTGAGATGAGGGTTCCAGGAGTCAGAGTAAGAAGTGATTGACAGCCCTACACTTTGAGACCATCACTGTCACCACGGCCAGCACCAGCCAGCCCCAGTAGGAAGGTGGGATAAGGGGCACCCTGAAGGTAGAGGCAGGGTGGGTTCGAGAGTGGCCTAGGGGTTAGGTCATTGGCCTGGGGACCTCAGGGTTACTGATTTGGAGAAGCACTAAGTTGTACACCAGTGTTCCCTCTAGGCTGCATGGCAGCACAGCTTCACAGGTGATTAGTCAGCCAGCTCTGTGCATGGAGCCCTGAGCCTCTGACTGGATGGGGCTGATTAATCACCTGTGAAGCTTTGCTGCCACACAGCTTAGAGGGAACACTGCTGTACGTGACTATGTATTTCACTGTTTGTCCTGAACAATCCCCTCCCATGCCAGCAACATGGTTCCCAGAACTACCAAGTGGCTGACAAACTCTGTCTATCATCTTTTCCACTTTCCTACTTCCTTGCACACATAGGTTGTGCCCCATATGTCACACCAAATCAATTATTTCAACAAAAATACACTACATTGCCTCTCAGGACTCCAAATAATGACATTCAGATGTATAACTTGCTCATTTCATTGTTCATGAGCAAGCTCCCCATAGCAGGAAGATGCCTTAATCTCAGCACTTTAAAGATTCAATGTTTTTGATGGGGGGGGGCGGGGCTTAACACGGATATCAAGGATATATGGCATCAAAGATAGACTCAGCTGGTATAAATTGGCTTGACTCCATGGAAGTATTTCAAACATACCAGCTGAGGATCTGGTCCAGCAACTCCAGAAATTAAGGCAATGTTCTTAGGCACAGGTATGCATGAATATGTGCAAATGAACACTGTTGTTGAAGAGAAACTCATGGTTCAATGTGAACATAGTTTTGCCCATAAGTCAAGAAAGCTTATGAACAGGAACAATGCTCGGGTCTTAGCAACACTGTGTGAAGTTAGAGGACAAGACAAGGGCACTGCCAGTCAATAGGCAGACAGAAATGTTTTACCTCGAGTGGCTATTGCAGATAAAACAGGCCATGAAAGTCAGCAATCAGGGAATAACACATGAAGGGCAGTAAGTGATTCCCATGGCACTGAAGATTTATTTTGACTAGCACTGTGACTGCAGAAGTAACTTCTCCAGGAAGCAGCCATTTGAGAATCAACTCAGGGTAGCCACTGGTTTTGTGATTGGTGAAACAAGCAAAACTAAGTAAGTTGTGGGGGAAATGACAAGAAGGAGTGTGTCTTTAGAAGCTAGGTGGTTTCACGTTCAAGGCCACTTCTCCCGCCTGCTATGTCCCTTGGCATTGCTCAGGCAATGCAGCGTAGCCATATTCTGTCTGGAGGTGGCCAGCAAAGAGGTCCTCTTGCGTAAAGGAACCAAGCTGGAGAAGGCAGCTTTCTCCTGCACCAACCACTCCTCAATTTGCCACCAGTGTATGGAGGTTGCCAAAGATGGGCTGATGACTAAATTCCACAGGTGTGACGTAAGTGAGAGGCCTTACCTGAGTGGCAGAAGTTAAAGCTACTCTGGAGAGTTTGGCAGCACTGGATGTGGTCTCCTCCCTGTTGAGAGTCAGTGGAGAATTCAGCCCTTAGTGTGTTCTCATCAGTATATTTTCCTACCTCTGTTTTGTGTTGCCTGGCTCTCATCTCCCAGAACATCATCTTCTCCTCCGTAGGTTCTGATGGGGGAGCGTGCATAGGAATGCTTTTGAATAAGGCTCTCCACACTTTCTCTGTGGAAAAAAAACAATATTGTACATTGGTAGCATCCTATGCATCACCTCCTCCATTTAGTGTATATAAACCATTCTATTCTATAACTAAGCCAAATGTGTCTAATGCATATGGATGACATCAGCCCAGACACTAAAGCTGAATGAATAATTAAATTAGAAAAAAAAATGATTCACAGATTGTCTCTGTTCATGAAGTGTGCACCAACAGACCATAATTTTCTCAAATTCTCAGTATAATTAAAACAAGATGTCTCATGCATTTCAGTTACTCTGTGGCTTGTGTTAAAAATCCCAAATTCAATCAATATTGTTTACTCATCGTTGGCCACATGTTACATTGTATTTTGTCTGGTTCTGGAATCAATGAGAGTAAGTTTACCATCTGGTTTCTGGTGTGAATTCTTACAGTCAATATAAACAGAACTCAGCAAGTATTTGAGGATGTAAGCTTACCGTGAACATATGTGCTAATGAAATTAGGTCTGGGTCAGAAGTGATTATCACAATTGAAATCTCAATGAACTAGCATCCACTTCAAAAATACACAAAATCACAATTGGTACTCTCTCATTCTTGCAGAGACTGTCAGCAAGATCAAGGCATGGGCATGAACACAGCTCACCTATTATGACAGTCCCCCACAGTTAGGGTGTGTCTAGACTACATGCCTCTGTCGATGGAGGCATGTAGATTAGACAGATAGGCAAAGGGAAATGAAGCCACGATTTAAATAATCGTGGCTTCATTTAAATTTACATGGCTGCTGCGCTGAGCCGACAAACAGCTGATTAGCTGTTTGTCAGCTCGGCGCGCTAGTCTGGACGCTCCGCGTCGACCTGAAAGACTTTTATCGACATCCCCCTTATGCCTCGTAGGATGAGGTTTACGGGGGATGTCGATAAAAGGCTTTCATGTCGGCAGGGGAGCATCCAGACTAGCGTGCCGAGCCGACAAACAGCTGATCAGCTGTTTGTTGGCTCAGCGCGGCAGCCATGTAAATTTAAATGAAGCCGCGATTATTTAAATCGCAGTTTCATTTCCCTTTGCCAAATAAACAAATCTACATGGCTCCGTCGACCGAGCCATGTAGTTTAGACATACCCTTAGGGTTTAGGCATATTAACAATACAACATGGAAAAACTGCATTGCTCCTTCTCACATGATACATATTCTATAGGCTAGTAGAGAACTGGTCAGCCTAGACCTTTCAGCCTGGCACCATGAACAAGCACTGAATTCACACAAACTTTTTAAATAAAAGAAAGTCAAAGCTATATGATGAGTAAGCCAAATTAATCCTTGGTATATTTCCATTTAAATCAGTGGCATTACACTAAGAGTGAATCTAATGCATTTCCAATGTGGCTTCAAACTCCTGTTCTCATCCCAGAAATGCAGTCTGTAAAGGACTGGGTTCTATCTTACAGCACCCGCCTCCTACCAGGCCACGTTTTGTTCTTGCTGAGCCAGCTCATTCCCTGGGGTAACTCTGGCTGATCTCTCTGGCAGAATCCAAGCAAGCAGACACTCTCTCTTTCCAGCAGAGTTAGTGGTTTTCAGTTTAAGGCTTCTTAACAAAAACAAATCAAAACCTCACAGATTCCTCCCTCAAAGCCTATGAAGGCCAAATAGTTCCTTCCCCAACTCTGCCCCTCACACCACTAACTTCAGCAACCCCAAACTTCCTGGCTCTTCCCTCAGAAATAAAGGACGTCACCCAATCTCCTTCCTGTCAATTTTCATTTTTGGAGCAATTCCTCTCTGCAGTGGCTGTGGTAGCAGTTCATTAGGAGCACAGCCCCTCCTTATCCCTCAGCTTTCTGATGAGTGTTGCCATCTCCCCTCTCTAGTTCCTGTTTTCCTCTTTTATAAGAACTAGCTATTGAAGTCCAGCTCTTTTCTCAGGTGCGGAGAGCAGGTCTAATTAGCTAGCCAACCAGCTGCAAGCCTCCGACCCCACAAACACGGTTACCTTTATACCTTCACACAATTAATACAGCTGTTTGGTGCCGGTTTCTTTTGGCCTTACCATTTGATCATTCACATTTGCTACATGTATTTTATTATGGCAACTCGCTGTAGCAAAAATTCCAAGGAAAAACATGTTCCAAATAGCACAATAAATCACCGTGGCACATGTTTTCCTTTCTTACAAAAAGGCTATTATAGTCATTTTGTCCTTGGTCTATTGCTGGTACCATTACTTATGCTAGTGCCCTGGAAAAAAAATAAAAAGGGGATCTTATCTAAGTGATTTACTTGTGTCAGGATTGGAAGTGGACTGAAAGCAATGGCAGTTTCTACATGGAGGATGATATAATTGAATTATTGCCTTTTAAGTGATTGAAAACAGTGGGCATATCAGGACTATCTCCAAGAAGATTTTACAAAGAAAAAGACAGACGGCATTGTTTATGTTATGTATTTAATGCCTCTTGGGCTTTCTTTTCAAGCACACTGGGAAATGTTTCTTACCAATAAATAAATAAATAAACATGGAGAATAGATAACCAGCATAGAATAATGAATTGGGATTGCCTTGGCAAAGCAAGGTATATGCCAGTCAGGAAGCACTCTCACATCTGAAGGCCAGATATACAAGCGACTAACCTTAAAAGCTGGGAAAAAATAAATTAATTTCAGGTGATATGTCTGTATTGACTTTATTACTAGTAAATGTCCACTTGTAATGATATACTATGATGCACAGTATGTAATAGTGTGAAACAGCAGAAACAATACAGGCTCCAGTTCTAGTTCAGTGGGCCAAATTCATCTGTAGCCTTATGAGGCTCAATGGAGGTACACTGCAGATAAGTTTGGCCCAGTAAATTTACCTTTGAATTGTCCTATGGGAATTTAAAACTAAATCAAATACCCACAATTATTGCCATCTAAATTCTTTCCAGATGGGTCACTTTACTAGACATAGAACTATATTATCTTATTTGGTTGTCTTTTTTTTCAGAGGGAAAAAAGAGATATGACTTTTAAGTGACCCCTAAAAGTGAAAAGTTTGAAAATGAGGCACAGTACATTATAATTTTTATTAATTATTATTATCATTTTGCAGATAGCATGCCAAAAAAACCTCAGGTTCATTATCACAAGAAACAGTATTTTAGAAATAGGAAAAAAATAAGAATTAGGAAACTGAAATTAGAAAAAGCAGGTCATGACATAAAAGTGTTAGTTCTGAGCTATAATCGTAGGCCAGATCTAAACAGAAATTTTTGTCGGTACAGTAAGGTCGCTCAGGGCTGTAACATATTTTAATTATATTTGCATACAATCTAAAACCCTAGTGTAGATACTGTTATGCTAGCAAAAAAGTTATTTTGCTAGTATTGCTTATTTCATTGAGGAACTGGAATGAGTTGTACAAACAAAAGAACTCCATTTTGGGTACAAGTTACATCAGCAATGAGATGGTATGCTGCTAGAGCTGTAACGGCAAACGCTTTCTAGTGCGAACAAGGTTCTGTTCTCCACAGATGAGGTTTAAAATTTAAAATTTTACATTACAAAACAACTGATGATTTTTAATTTTAAAGGTCTAGATTTTGATTCACATGATGCCTGTGTGTTGGGAAGTAAAGAATAAACCCTCCAAACAAGAACCCCTACACAGATTACCTGAAACTTTGGAGTATAAAGAAGTGCACTAAATCTAGGATACCTAAAGATGACAATCAGTAGATGGAGACTGGTATGGGGGGAGACATACTCAAAAAGCCTACCCCAAACACAGAAATGAATTTAATGATTTAAAACTTACAGTTGTATATTTGTGTGTGCAAAAGATCTTAAGCAAATTTTATAAATCACTGAAAAGATAAATCAATATTTGCCATATTCTATTCACTAAAATACTCAATAAATGAAAGTTGTAGACTGAAAATCAGATTGTTGGTGTTTTAGAAGCATTCCTTGAAAATGTTCAGAGTTGATCTATAATCAGCTGACCATCTTGTGAAAAATGAAGTCATTTCAGTTTAATCCAAGAAAAGCTTTTAGTCTTCAGTTTGCAGATAGTTATTGCCTAATGCTTAACTCAACTGATTTTTACTTTATGAAATAACATAGATTTCTACAGTGTCTTCTATTTACCAATAAATGTATGTAACTGAATACTGAAACAGAGAAACAGAGGTGAAGGTGCTGTCCTGTTGCCAATTTCTTTTGCATGGTCTCCCCATATTTTTTCAACTTCAAGATCCCCTTTTAAACTTAATTGCAGTGTAAATATGAATGAAATGCACACATTTGGACTACAAAACATCAGTACTGAATTATGCTAAATATACAACTATACAATAATAGTATGGAATGGGCTGGAGATTAGGAAGAGATCCTAGAAGACAGAAGCAGAGGTGGTCTGAACGGGGGGGTTGACTGTGTACCAGATGGCAAGGAGGAACCGAGTTGCTTCTGGTCAGCATGGAATAAGAGGACATACTGATGGCAGTGGTGGTAGAGGAGGCAGGATGAACAGAATGAATGCTAATGTGGGAAGGGAACGTATGAGGCTCTCAAAGACCTGTAGAGTGACGGAAGCACATGATGACACAAGCCTGATCAATCAACCTTCATTTATATTGAATAAAATCCCACTCTTCTCCACATCAGAAAGAAGCGATAGTGTTTCTGAACCATGAAACCAAAACTATGGACAGGACATAGCATTCCAATGATGCATGGGTAACTGAGCACCCAACATAGGCTGCATATCCAGGATAGTGACACCTAATGATGGACAATGGAGAATATTATTTACTCTAAAGCTAGTAGAGGATCATCAGAGCTTTCCCATCCTGGCAGCAACATCAAATCACCAATTCTTGTGGTATATTAATCTGGATGGCTTTTAACTCCTATGGTAATTCATTCTAAAGCTGAGCTCTCTTGATTGACATTGCTTGACCTCCAGCTTTCACAACCACAATCTTAGGCCTTGTTAACAACACTGTCCTGGAACAGCAGAACTGCCTCACAG